AACTTCCACCTACCCTCATCAACTTTATCAGTATATCAAAAAGGAGTCTACTTTACTGGCATAAAAGTGTTCAACAATCTGCCACAAAGTATTAAAAACTTGGGCAATGATACTAAAAAGTTTAAATCAGAGTTAAAGAATTATCTACATGCTCATTCCTTCTACTCTTTAGATGAATACTTCAATGTAAATAGAGAATGATGTAAAATTAAGTTATATTAATTTTTAAGCTAAAATTGCCTGTACTTATGTATGTAACCTTTTGACTTGTTCTGTATCCAAAGGTACTAACCTACTTAGGATTTATAGAATGTAAATAAATTCAATTCAATTATAAAAGAAAAACTTGTTATAATTGCTGAACAATTGTTATTTTGTGGAATTATAATTTCAACCATTTTGCTTGCAGGATTGTTCGCTCTTGATAAATTGCAGATAGAAGTTGAAAAATATTACGCGTCAGAAGTGGATGGAGATGCTATTAATGTAAGCAAACTTAATTTTAAGGACAAGATTGAATATGTTGGACCTGTAGAAACCCTGAATCTACGAAAGCTGAAGGCTCTTGGACGCATAGATTTGCTCTTGGGTGGTTCCCCATGTACTGAACTAAGTCTGGCAAACCCTGTTCGTAAAGGGCTCTTTGGTATGTATATGTCCATGTATGTAATTTCTTTGGTAAGGATCCTAGAGAATAATTCTTCACAATGACTGCCTTCTTAATGGTGCTCTGTTTTGATAAATATGGGTTACAAATCAGTGGTCAACCAGCAAGGATATTGCACTCTAGCACAAATACTAATTCAGCTGAACTTTTAAAATATTTTCTGTAGTAACACTGTACTATCCAGGACTACAGAAACTGTTAAAGAAATGTATAATATGCAAATATTTCAAAATAACATATTTTGTGATAGTAGTATATTCTTGGTGTAACTCTCATAATATGCTGACGATCTGAGAAAATCTACTTCCTGTTTCTCAAGAGATAACAAAAATTAATATGTGGGGACTGACAAACACAAGTCATGCTCTGGAGTTTTCATAGAATTTTTACTTTATATCTCAGTGCATTTTCTTGCTCAAAATTTGTGCATACAACTACTTCATTTAGTTCAAAGGAGGTCAAGGGTATTGCTCAGACAACACTATGAGTTACTGTTATCTCACTCGGTATAATGCAAGCTTCCATCAACAATATATGTGCCAACACTGTAGCGCACCACAGCGCAAATAATAAGGTTACAGCCAGTGAAATGATCCTGTGTTCATATTTAACTGATTTTAGAATAGAACAGAATGGCACTTGTCACATTTTATGGGAAGGGACCATGTGATGGTTTTGGCAGTAGAATCAAATTACTGGACAGCATGTGCAAGTTCATAAAACGCACAAGATAATCAGATACTGATATTCTCAGATTTTATTTGTGTGAAAAGGAAATTTTCATATCTACACCTTAAGAATATTCAGTGCAAACAGATGTCAGAGTCAGTTTGTAGGGCAGCCATACCAGGCACCTGCAGTTCTTGTGCATTTATTTTCATTACTGAGACTGACCCTTGGATGAAACATAGCAGTTCCAGAACATTCCCTTGTGCAATCAGTGGTTATGCTACTGCAGTCTATGGCAATTACTTGTGACTAGGATATATAATGGAAAAGTCTGAAGAAATTGGAGATAACCACATCCAATTCTTACATCCACATGGAGCAGCAGGATCTCCCCCACACTGTTCAAGTAGATTAACTCTTCCAGCAAGCCACAACTTGTCTTTAGCTATGCTGCTTGAATCTTAACTTACTTAACTTACCTTGGCAGAAAGCAGTCATACATCACAGCTGCTTAAGTTATTTTGAGAAAATATTCATGAAATATATCAATAAGAGAAAAAATAATATATAATAGAACTAGATGTGTATTTTAGTTGCATGGCTAACAAATGTAAATGTTTTTTTCTGTAATTGAAATGTGACGGAATTCAATGAGGCACTTAAAACCATTTACTTTTAATGAACACAGGTGTATCTATTGAGCTGTAAATCACATGTGACCCTTAATTAATGCAACATTAGTTTTTGTAGGAAGTGGTCACTGCTCAGTTATGTGTATGTACAATTCTGTGTACTGGAAGAACTGTGCAAATTGTTTACAAAATTGATTACAGCTTCCAAAGCTCTGTGGTTCCAGAACTATCTTGCTTGCTGTAAGAGGGGTATGAGGCTGATACATGTGAAAAGTTTGAAACAAACCATAGTTGCTACTTTTCTGCAGTTAATTTCCAAAATTTGTAATGTGCCACCACTTATAACTGTGAAGTATATTAAAGTATTAAGAAAGAAAATTTTATGAGCTTTACAGTGAGCTCTAGAATGCTTCTGAATATTGTATGAAAAGGGGTTACTAAAGGAAGTCTGTATATGCATGTGTTTCTTTTTTTACCCTAGTGGGAATTTTTTTAACACCATATCAAAAACCATGTGGCATAAATTAAAAGAAGATTTGAGCAAAGATTATGGGACCAATATGTATACCAGATTTCATCACAATCTGAGTTGCTTACTGACCCAGTATTTTTCAGTTACAATTGCTGGTGTATCTAGAAATGCATTGTGACATGTAGGCATACACATTTCCGCAGACATAGGATCTTGAACATTACCCATCGCTAGGTGTTAAACGTATCCATGGATATGAGAATGAAAGTTCCAGAAAGCAGCTTGTTGCTGTGGAATCAGCAGGCATATCCATAGATATGAGAAAGCAAGAAACACTTCCTGAGATACCGCTATGCTATATAAGCGGCCATTCAGGTAAGAACTGATTGATTCATAAATCAGAAGTCAGTCTTAAAATAACTCTAAACCAAGTCAGTCACAGTAGAAGAAAGAAACCAGGGGAGAACAGTAGAAGACAGACTAGAAGAGTTGTCCACTCAGAATGGATTGATTCTTAGGCAGTCGTTTATTGTGAACTATTGTAATTGATTATTATTAAGGGAGATTGTAAAAGAAGGTGTTAATAAGTCCAATCATCCAATCCAAAACCCACTATTAGTCAACAGAGCCATAAACACGTGATAGTATATAGTACTTGCTCTGCAGCACTGTCAGAATGTGGTAATGATTCATTTTATTTGCGATAACTTCACATTAATTTACTATTTTATATTTTTCAGACACAGACGCGTCTGGTTCACTGTTTTTTGAATACTTTCGCGTTTTGGTGACCCTCAGAATGTTGCAAGGCAACTGCATGTACTGGCTATTTGAAAACACTGCTGCAATGCCCTGCAGCATGAAAGCTACCATAAGCAGGTAATTTCATGAATACAGAAAGATTCCAACTCAAGTTTTCTCAGTATAAGATATTCACTCATTATGTGTTCACTTTATGTGGTTCCACCTAAAGCCTCATAAAACGTCTTGATTTTCCCTGCTGTGGTTTCTTATAACAATGTTTCACAGTTAGTGAACAAATATCCAGTCCCTGCATGAAATCTGTATTTTATTATATTTATGTTTGTGGGAGACTGTTTTCCCCTTTTCAGAGTTAAAGGATTATCTACAATTATTTTGACAAACATGTTGATGTTTTTAAGTTTACAACTTTTTGGACATTGTCCATGGTGGATAATGTCAGAAGTCAACTGTATTAATATACCATCATCACGAACTATTAGATCTTTCTTTTTAAGGGCTAGAGTTTCTGAGATGCAGTAAATTCTAACATTCACGCCATACCATGCTGTCAGCATAGCAAGACAATCATATATTTCAAGGTTTGGGGTTTTGAGTTTGTGGACGCTGTGAATAATAAGAGATCAGATATGCTTAGGTTAGGCTGAAAATGAAGATTAAAGGTGTAAGATAGAAGCTGACTATGCATAATGTTCACAGATATTTACCATATTTATCTTGTAAAAACTGAAATTAATATACAAAATCACATTTCATATGCAAAGATGTTCCTTAGTGGGTTATTTTAGATTAAGAGCCATCTTCTATTCAGGTAAATACAGTATTTATGTAATTGCCTAAAGAGATCTCAAAATGGCATGTCATGTTGAACTTGAGATGAATGTGGGAAGAGCAATAGCAACTTAACCAGTGTATTCATGATAGCTCTGTGGATAATTTCTGCCCTATGGATGATACACTGTCTTTAAGTTTCCTTTTTAATCAGATTTGTAGGTTGCATTTAACTGCATAGATACTGGACATTGTGAACCAAAAGTTGTGAAGGCATTGTATGTAATAAACCACTGGTAGTCTGAAACAGCCCTTTCAGTATCTGCACTGTGTATCTCTCATTGTGACAGGTGGGACTATCTTGAAAACAAGCATCCTGTAGATTTCTCTCCTCTGTAGCAGGACTTAGGAAATTGTCAATTATTTCTCAGTACTTTTCTCCATTTACAATTTCTGCAATTCTGTTGTCATGTTTAAAGAAGGCCCAATTATTATATTAGCTAAAATCGCACAAAACAATTCACAGTGGATGTGAGAGCTATTTGTGAGCTATTTCAGAACTTTCATGTCCCACACCTATAATATACTTTGTTTAAATAACCATTAGGGTGAATTCATGCTTCATTACTTATCAGCTTATTACTTATCATTATTTTCAGCAAGTTCCAGTAAACTGCATAGGAAATGCAATTGTGACTCATCAGTAGGTTTTAACTCCTTAAACTAACTGAATTTTATATGGAAAATAATTCAAAACACATTTGAGAATTTGTCTTAAAGATCTTATGGACAGTTGAAGTTCCAAAGATCAGTCTTGTTTTCAATACTGTTTAGGAAGCTATCACACACTTATTCAGTGACTGCCGGTTTTGGCAGTGCATAGTTAACACCACCATTGTGCTTCTGCCACACCATCATCACAAAATCTTGGCATGTGTCTTTGGTTACATACTCTGATGGGGCTTTATGAACTCAAAATGTTTGTCTGAAGTCTCTCTGAGCAGCAATTATGGAGGATCCATTATTAAAGTAGAGTTCCACTATAGCAGTGTGTTCTTGAAGTGTCCATTTTTCCAGGTCTTGAAAGTCAGGGGCTCAAACTTACCTGAAAACCACAATATCTATTATGGCTCTAAAGGTAGTAAAAGAACAAAATTCCTTTACTGCTTTAGCCTCGCTCTATTATAGATATATTAAAATTTGAACATGTGCACAAGGTGTTTAATGTTTATATTAATAATTTCCCAGGTACTCTTTAAGGATATAGCACCTACTATTTTGTATGTGGATGACACAACAATTTTAATTACCCCATATGACCTAAACTCTTTGAATATTAAATTAAGTAGTTATGACTAGGGTTTCAAGCTGGTTTCGAAATAACAATCTGATACTTAATTTGAGTAAAACTCACCTGATTAAATTTGTGACTTATAAGTCTCCAGAATATACATTATCGATAACATATAATAATTTTAGACTTAAAGATGTTCATAATGTTAATTTTTAGGTGTGTATTTAGATTGTCAACTTAATTGGAAAAAACAATCTGAAAAATTGTTAAAGAAACTGAATACAGCGTGTTTTATGCTTAGGAAGTTACAGTCCCTTGTCAGTGAACAAGCTCTTTGAATGGTCTATTTTTCTTATTGTCAGTCTCAGCTTAAATACAGTATTATATTCTGGGGTTCTTCTCCAGTTATAAGAAGTTTATTTGTTGCCCAAAAAGAGCAATTGGGGTTATGCTGAGATTGAGTCCTGGAAACTTGTGTAGAGGAGGTTTTAAGGGGTTGGGTATTTTGATGGTTCCTAGCCTATATATCTATTCTATATTGATGTTTGTTAGAAATCGCAATATTTTTCAGACTAACAATAATATTCATCATATAAACACTAGACAGTTTGGAAAGCTACATGTGTCATCAGTGAGATTATCTTCAATCCAGAGAGGTGTGTTATATTCATCCATTATGGTTTATAATTGTCTGTGTGATAGTGTGAAGATTTTTAAATGCACACTGAAAAGTTTCCTTACAACAAATGCTTTTTATTCAATATTCAATTCTGCTAAGTATGTATAACATTTAATAACAATATTCCTTGCAATTTTGTTTATGAATGGCAATGTAAATTATGGTTATTTGGTGCTTTTGGTTGTGTGTGGTTGTTTGCTGTTGACATGATTATACTTCTGCAATCAAGTCTTATTTTGACAAGTTCAATATCTGGTCCAATTTGGACAACAGATCAGTGACTTTATGAATTATGTATGTATGTAAGTGAAAGTTGATTTTTAGGAACACTTTCTATGCAGTTAGGCACGTCATAAAGTATTTTCTGTTGTTTTCAGTTTTTTGTTAGAATGAAACAAATATGTAATTAACAGTGGAGTGTAATTTTATTTTTCTGCATTCTGTACATGTATAAGAGTTATCATGATTTATGGTACAGGAGTCCTGTCCTAAAAAAAATGGCAATTTCAATATACAGGAGAGTTTAATTTTATATAACTGATAATACATTCTTTGTGTTTACAGGTATCTGGGCCGTAACCCAACTGTTTTCGATGCTGCATGGTTATCAGCACAACACCGAACACGTTTGTTTTGGGGCAACATTCCAGGTTGGGGAAAAAAGGTTGCTAAATGCAATGTGAAGCTGGATGACTGTCTGATACCAGGCTTGAATAGGATTGCCGCAGTTGATATGATACGGACAGTAACAACAAACTCTAATTCTCTACGTCAGGGTAGGTAATGCTGTACAAGTGCAATAATTAATCCATTAAAAGCCACGTACCCTTCTTTAAATGACATATTCCATGGTTTTGGAACCTTAAAGTGACCAAAAATAATGCAACACTATATCCACGATTCAGTTTGTTATTAGAACACACCTGGGTTAAAGTAGAATGCATACCAAGGGCAGTAACATTTTTGTCAGATGGAAATAGCTGACTGAATCTTTGCTAATCACTTATGGTGAAACCCCAGTTTAACACATTGTGGACCGGTTGTTTAAATATTTAAATCACCCTGGGGACCGGGGTTTTTAAGCCTAGCACCCTAACTTGTGCACTGTTCACTTTAAAAATTAATATAAAATCTCGTAATTAATTTTATGAACTAAAATTTTTGGAGAACACTTATCAGAGCTCCTAGAAGTGCTTGCGCATGTGATATCTCTGGAAACATTCCCCTTTGTGAAGAGGCATCACGCAGAATTTGCAGTTGTACGCAGTCCTACTCTTCTTGTGGACTGCGCACAAACGGCACTGCCTAGAAGGGTACTTCTTGCAATGTTCATTCTTCACAATTCTTACGAGGTTATGTTTCCGCATATCACCCGAGAGTCGTCCAGGGGGGTCCACATGAGGCCTCCGGCGGGTGTGAACAGATGGCCCCGGCTGCACTATGTCTGTGTCTGACGCAGGTACTGCCGCCACCATGAGGTCAGTAGCCCAAGCTTTTGCCAAGTTCAACAGAAATGCTTTGTATTTTAAAGTAGAATTTCTGTTCACCTTTTTGAAAACCAAAAATGAATTGAAAAGTGCACAGTTTATAAGCCACAGTGCAACTTTCTTCGTCCACTTTACTGTTTTCCTAGGAAGGGAATAATAGGCCAAGTACTGGTCGGCTCTATCAACTCCCTTCACGAACATCATATCCTCGGAAATACAAAGAGGCTTCTTCACTTGCCCGTGGCATCTCTGAACATCAACCGTACTCAAATTGTGAATAGTGAAAACCATATTCACAATGCGAGTATCCCTCCAGGACTGAAGAAGAATGTCCCCTTTCCTCCTGAATGTGGTGTCACCACATTTCAGGCATTTACATTCCTCTTTCAGATCTGAAGGAAGGCCTCTGTACACCCTAATTGTACCACAAATACGTACTTTCCTTGAAAGTAGGTATTCTGCAGTTGCCACACTGTTGTAATAATTATCTTGATAAACATGATAATTTTGATCCAGATAGGGACCCAAACAGAAACAATAGTTTCTTGCAATTTCTTGCCTTCAGCAGAATAAATTTCTAAATTTCCTATATAGCCTGAAGTGCTTTCCGTGACTACAAGAACAAGTAGGCCATGCTTTGTGAGTTTCCCAGGATTATACGTTCGAATACGAAGCCTTCCCCTCCAAGGAATCACAGATTCGTCCAAAGACAGTTGTTGCTCTGGCTTATAAACTGTCTGCAATTTCTCAACCAAAATGTCTAATAAGGGCTGAATTTTGAAAAGCCTGCCCATTGGTTGTGGTTGCACTTCATTATTATTGAAATGCAAACACCACCATATCTGTTCAAATCTCTTACCACTCATGAGTTTGCCGAAAATGGGAATTTCTAAAAATGGGTCACTTGACCAATAATCCTACAAAGTATCTTTCTTCGTAAGCCCCATTAGAATGATCATAGTCAAAAATTTTTTCATTTCTGTTGAAGTGACATCCACCCACTTCAACACCTTATAGGTGTGGTTGTACACCTCACGGTGTTGGAGATAGTATCTGTTAGTCTCCTGACATAACAGGTCAAAGAAACTATCTCCAAAAAACAGTGATGCAACTTCAGACACATCCATTGGGTCTGATGGCATCCGCTTAACCCCCGGATCACCAGTAAACCTACCCAAAGTGGGGGTTTTGTCCACTTTACCCCATGTGACTGTCCCGGTACTCGCACTTTCATCGGAGCTCTCACTTTCACTGGACACAGTATTTTGGGGGGCCCTGTGGTCACTGTCACTTTCACTGAGGCTGGCCTCGCTATCAGAAGACGAAGCAGTTGGCAAATCTGATAGCTCATTGGAGAACAAATCTAATATTTCTTGTTCTCCGAGAGAACACTTCGCCTGCAACTGCTTTTGTCTCTGATCCATGTTGCACTGCTAACTTCCTGGTTCATACATGGAAGCTTGGACTCGAACAAAGGCTTTTTTTCTTTAGGGTGTGACAGGAAATGAGCGTGATCATGTTACTGGCTAAGCTAGCAAATATTCTCGAGGTCAACTACGCAGTAGTTATGATGCAATGTGGCCACACAGCGAGATATAGTCGGTTGCAACATAACATGTCAGAAAAGGGCCAATTGGCCCGCCCGGTCTGCAACACTATAGAAACGTAGAGGGCCAGTTGGCCCCTCCAGTCCTGAATGTGTTAAAGTATTTTGTGCTGTGTATTTGAACACCAAACTGGAAGAAATATTAAAATGGAGAAAATTTAATACTGAGATTTAATGACATAATCCTGGAAGACATCTTAACACTCATTGCAGTGAGAATGATGTTGAATAGTGGTTGGTTCATGGGAATTATGCAGAGATACACTTAGAGGGTCATACTGAAAGTCATGAGCAACAATTTTTTGTAAAGTAACATGCTTTATTACTGACAAACCAAATACACCACCTCAATCTACAGACCTTTCTTTATTTTTCCACATAATCGCCGCTTCCTTGTACATATTTCTCCCAGCGTTCTGGGAGTTTGAAAATTCCCCTTCTGTAAAATTCCATTCCAACCATCCAAAGACACTTGATGCACTGCTTTCTGAATTGCCTCCCTTGTCTCAAAACATTGTCCACGCAGCTGATCCTTCCAAATCCGAAAAGATGGTAGTCGGAGGGTGCCAGATCAGGGCTATAGGAGGGCTGTGGAAGAACTTCCCACCCCATCTTTGCAATTGCTTCCAATGTGAGGCAAGCATTGTCATGCAGGATGATGATGTTTCATCCTGGATGTTTATTGCGCAATGCACGATTGAGCTTGTGCAGTGTCTGGACATAACAAGCAGCATTGATGGTTTGCCCACGTTCCAGGAATTTGGCCAGAATAAACCCCTCTGCATCCCAGAAGACTGTGCCCATCACCTTCGCAGCTGATGGCACTGTCTTTGCCTCCTTTTTTGATGGAGAATGCAAATGGTGCCTTTCCATACTTTGCTGTTTCGTTTCAGGCTCGAAATTGTGAAACCAGCTTTCATCACCTGTCACAATGTAGAGCAGAAAATCATCGCCTTCGTGTTGATATCTCTGCAGCAGTTCTGAGGTGATGGCTTTTCGCTGACCTTTGTGGTCTTCGGTCAATAACCACAGGACCCAACGAGCACAAACATTCCTATAGCCCAAGCTTTCAATCATCTCTTGTACTGCACTGTGCCCTATTCCAAGTTTTCGTGCTATTGTGTCCACAGTCACACACCTGTCATCTTGAATGATCTCATCCACTCTTTCCTTGTTGCATTCAGTTGCGGCTGTATGAGGACGACCGCTCCGAGGCTGATCTTCGATGCTGGTGTTCCCATCTTTAAAATGTTTCACCCATCTTTGAACACTTCTCGCACCCATGCACACACTTCCATAAGCACGCTGAAGTCTCTGGTGAATTTCTGCAGCAGGGATTTCCTCTTTCACAAGAAATATGATGACAGCATGCTGGCGAAACGACATATTGTTGTCGGCCATTTTGTTAGGAGTGATACTGGTCACGTGATGCAAGCTATTGACGTTACAAGACACTCATGGTTAACACAACAGCTGGTTCCACCTACCACCATACTCTTTTTTGTCTGCTGTTCCCAGCTTGCATGCAAAAAAAAAGTTGCTCATGACTTTCGGTACAACCTATGTATATGGCGTCAAGTTTTATAAAAAGGTGATCATACTAAGGAAGGAAGAGCTGTGAGTTTGAGGAACTCGTATAAACTGAGATTTTACTTGCCCACTCACTACTCACTATCAACCTCTCCAACTATACCTCACATCTTGCTCTTCTATAACCGACTGCTTCCTCTTTCCCTCGACTCCCATACTTCTTTTCTAACATTTAGGTAGCAACCCGGTTACAACTCGTAAGTGGCCATCACTTGGAAAGGGTTACGGCCAGATCCTAATAATGAGCGCCAGTCCAGCGTTTAATTTGTTGAAGAGAGATGTTATCTGCAACCCTTCATTTGAGCTTTTATCATTACAAGACGTACATTAAGAAACCAAGCGCAATTAGGGTAACGATCACCCTGGGAAACTCAGAATAAAATCAAGGACTGATATCCCAAAACACCTCCCTAACATTTAAAGTCTACGGATGACGCTAATGACAGTGGTGGTGCCATGAAGAGGATACCAGGCTTAAGTGCAGCATATGATCCTGTCTCCATGACCACAAGCCTAAGGAGGATTCTAAGGGTTAACAATTATATAATTATATAACAATTATATAATTACCCCCGGCACATATCTTGTTCACGTAGAATTAAGTGGCATTTTCATATCTGCTGTTAAAGAGTTTTAAGTGAGGAAAATATGGTTACAGTACTCCCCCCATTAAGCCGAGGTGTGTTCAAGTTGAACCGAGGAGTGACACTACCTTGGCTTAATGCCATTCTCCCATATGACCCAAGCAATACATTAATTGTATACAATATAGTATTGTAACTATACACAAGCAACCACAGCCACAATAGGTTATTTCAATTCCAAAACTCATACCCTTGTGTGAATCTTAAAAACTTCAAACATGTCACACAAATTTGACATCTGCAGTTTCTTGTAGCGTAAGCTGCCATACAATATAACTAACCCTTAATTAATATCAGATAAGAGAATGATTCAAGAAATAGGAACAACTTACATAAAGTACAGCTTACCTAAGATATCACCACCAGGGTCAATTCTTCATGGAACCAAGTGACTTTTATGACGCCCCCATAAATAAAGTCCTACATTTCATTCGAAGTGTAGGATTAAT